GCCTTTTACTGCATAAAACTTGGTTATGCGCCTATTGGGACGCACCGCTTATTCACCCTCCGTGTAGAAGCACAGGGCATACAATTGTGAGGTACCGGTTTAATAGGTGGAGGCCTCGCAAGGGAAGTCGTCGGAGTGTGGAGCACTTTCTCAAAACGGTTTCTTGCATCTCACAGAAACTCATGTGTAGCTTACAAAATCGAGGTCCATTTTTGCTAGGCGGTTTCATGAAGGCAAGAAAGCGGGTAAGAAATGGTTCGAGGTCCGATTCCACGTGGTGTCAGATTTGTATTGTATTTCAGACTGGAGCTTCCAAATTTTCTCCTTATAAAGCCAGCGCTAATAGTGGGGAGTCACACTTACTACCATGACCGAGTACTCTTCGCTAAAACCTCCACTCATCACTCCAACTCTGTTAATCACTCACTCCAAGCGAGTTTTCGATTTTTTTTGGCTTCTAGTGCATCGCTCAGCGAACAATGAACCTCAGCTTTATAGTGCGCGTGAGAGCCCCTACAGCAGACAGAAAGCCGTTTTGAAAAAGCGCTCCAAAAAGACCAGCTTTGTCAGGCGTGAACTGATTTGGATCCCGCAACAAGGGTAAGCTATCATGCGCAAACCAGTGGTGCGAAGAGTAGAAAAAACATAGCTCGCTGACTCCATATTGCTGCCTTCTGTACTCTTCATGAAATTCTACACTTTCAGAAGAACATTCGTTCTGCGACTCTGATGTTGGTGTTTGTAACGTGCACCTACCTCGCTTCCAATATGCTCAATGTAATTGTCTACACCTGGGAGTTGATCGATAAGGTTTCAAGCCACAACTTACAGTCCTAAAGATTTCATTGTCACTGAAAGCTCTTCATTTCAGCCATCACTTATGTCTGAAGAGTTGCGACCATTCTACACACTCTGTTCTGACCTGGTGTCGCTACTTACAGTACTAGCTAGGTGCGTTTTTCCTTTACTGGAAAGTTATTGTGAGCGAATCTAAAACAGGTTAGCGCAGCCAGGCCTGCATTTTTTAACGCAGAGCAAAGTCAACCTAATTTTGGACCGATGGTATCTCTAGCTGGTGCTTCTAGGTCAGGAGCAGAAAAAAATCAAAGGAACTAAAAAAATGACGCCTGACCTCCAGATGAGTGGCCTGGGAGGAAAACAGCGCTCAAACCACATTTATAACAGAATATGCCTGAATATCTCGTTGTCGTATGTACGAGTTCTCAGGGTGAATAACGGTCGAGGATTTCCTCGACCATAGCTCTCTACCATGCGAGAGTAGTGCCGAGAGTGAACATCCGCGCGGAGAGCACAGACGGCACGCGCATGGCGAGTGTGAATGTCCGCGCGAGAGATCGTGTCTGATCGGGCAGAGAATCCTCGACGTGCCGTTGAGGAATCCTCAAGCGATATTCACCCTGGTTCTGTCCCTAAGTTTCACTTTTTTCAGTGCTTGCCGTCTTCCCATCTACATTGCGTGTAACGCTCGGATTAGATGTGAAGTGATGGACGTGCTAAACAATTGCGTTATCTTCAAAACCGGGAAACATGGCAAGGTTAGTAAGCAAAACTCAGTTCCCAATCAGGTTCCCGTCATGCTCTGCAATCAGCCAACGTTTGCTCATTGTGGAACAACACGTTCGCTCATTGGCAAGCAATGAGGAAGGAGCATGACTGCCCATTGCTCAGTGAAGCAATATCATGCGATACTAATGCAGGTACTAAGTGCTGCTAAACCACAGCTGTGAAAGTTAGGGCAAGAAATTGAGCTGAAAGGGCTCCATTTTGCTCTGCAGCTTTGACGGTAAGGACCAAGATAAAGGGCGTCGATAACGCTAACGTAAGGGTAAGAGCTTTGATAACACTTTCCTCAAAAGAAGCTTTTTGATGAGTACTGGCAAATCAGCTTGAAATACGCGGAGAAGCGACTGGGCCAAGAGCCGCCTATTCATGCCTAGACCCAAGAGGGAGAGGGTTGGGGGGGGGGAGAGGCTGCACTGCGGCTGGACCACGGAAAATGTGCAAAAACATAGTTTGGATATCGATGAAATAGTGCGTTTCACCGCTTCTCGTCAATAAGTTACTTTGAATTTGCCTGTTCTTCAAAGTTTTTGTGATTTATGCCGCTGGAGATGTCCTTAAGGGAAGGGTTCCAATAGGCACAAAAGTCGAAAAAGGGGAATTTACCTAGTGGAAAGAGAGGCGACCCCCCCCCGCCAAGGGTGCGGACCAGGGTGAAAATCGTGTCGAGGACGTGGTCGCAGAAGTACGACCCCCCCTGAAATCGAGGTCTTGGCACGACCCCCTAAAACAGAGCAAAATCACAACAGCCGAGTGTATCGATCAACGGCCGATTCAACGGCAGCTGCGGCGCGATTTGTCCCTGGGTCAGATTTGCTGAAATCCCAAAAAAACCGTCGAAATCTACACCCTCGATGAAAAGGTTCCATTCCTCCATTTCCCAACCTTTTGAACAGCACGCGGTAGGGTTAGATAGAGCTAGATTTGCTACTATCAGGCAGTATTGGAATTGCTATGAAAGCCTTCCATTCGAAGAGTCTCTCAAAATTCGTCGAGGGAGCGTCGAGGATGCTGAAATTTTCATGCGAGTTTTTGCCACTTAAAAGGCAATATCTCTAATTCGCAAGATCTTGAAAACGAAGACAGTTTTGGAAAGCGGAAGGTTTGCGCTTTCTAACAGTATGTTTAGCTTCCTTCTACATTTCTAGTTGAGGAGATATTTGCGTCGAGGATCTATCGAGGATGATTCTCGGCCGCTCAAAAAGCCGCTCCCTTCTTCACCATTGCAAGTGTAATTCGTTGGCAACGCTCGAAATGTGTCTAGAATACATTCTTCCAACAAGCAATAAGAAAAGGGGCAATCGTCATCATCCGATTTTGTCTGGGTATAGGCCATGCATCCGACCTTCACTCGAAGTTGCAGAATCGATTGAAAGGTGTTATATGATCATGACCAGTTGACAAGCTGCATTGTAGTAAACACATTTCGTATAACTTATGTAAAACCTAAAGAACAACTTCGTATAGCCGGGAGCAAACAGCTTCATTAGGCCCAGGCCTTTCCTTTCACTATTATCGTTTTGTGACAGGCGTCTCTAACACAGTGTCATTTCTCAACTGAGTCTATTAAGGAAAAGTGAGGCAGCGGTGCGGGTAAGATAGAGGAGATGCCAATTAGTGCTCAGCGGCTACGTGTGCAACAGGTGTGCCCGTTCCTTTGCAGAGTTGCCACGTTTGAATTCTATAGTACTTGCTTTTCAAAATACGCTTTCACAAAGGAGGAATGGAGTGACTGAACATGCAAAAATATTTAATATCTTTTTTTTCACATATCTTCGTTTTCTGCTGCGCTACGCCCTCTTACTCCTATCAGCACCACGATGCCACTGATGTTACTCACCCCCACGAGTACGACCCAGCCATGACAAGTATGATTCTCCCTGTCGAGCATTTTGATATTCATCCTGGTGCGGAGCAAACGCCCACCGTCTACCTAATCACTCGCAGCAGTCTATCGTGACAAGGGACTAGATGGTAGAGAGCAGAATGCGACCTTATCCCTACGAAGAAGATTCCATAATGCGGAAATCAGCGGGCAAGGGAGGGTTCCCACTGCTCGGGTTTGGGACCGTTTCACATGGTTTCTACTTCATCCCTGCTTACCGACCACCTATACACTTATTTCCAGTGACCTACCTTTTTACGTGAAACAGCCTTTGAGTTAATTTTTTTTTCTTTTTGAAACGGTGGAATGGTCAAAATATCACTTGAATTAAGCACACTTCACGCCCAAAGAATTCTGGTAGGAAACTGACAATACATTACAGAACCGCTGTCAAACATCACCAAATGATATTATAGCATGTTACGCAGCTGTACGAAAAGATGTGCTCGAGCTGCAACGAAGCATAGTTTACATTCCCCAAAATGTTGAATTTTTGTGAGGGCGCACGCATCAAAAGATAAAAAAGATTAACTGTACTGTTTCATCTCTATTCCTCGATAGATCATTTCTGAATGTAGACATAAATCCCAAATTGCGAACTGAACATTGGTCGAGTGGGCTCTGATGAATGAGCCGATCACTGCGTACAAATGAAGTTATTTGCAGAGTCACCGAAAAAACAAAGCGAATCACGCGCGACACAGTGCGAATTGCGAGAGGAATGTGCTTCAAGATTTATGACGGCTATAACGGTAGTTTTTCGGAGCTTTGAGTGGATATGGTATGGAAGGAGGCAATCCCTCACCCCTTGTGTATGGGCAGTTACTCTCCACATGACAGAAAAGAAAACCATTGTTCTCAATGCTTCCGACATTTTTACATTTCTTCTTTAGCGGCGGTGCACATCTGCTTTTACTTTCGTTGCATTGCTCAATGGTGCGCCACTGGCGAAAAAGCAGGAAAAGCTGTCCAGAACGCAAAACGGGACCCCCTTTTTTGGCGTTGGTTTTCACTCGAAAAGGTAACAGCTCGGAAAGTGGACGTATGAACGAGTTCACCGCAACGCATTTGATGGCACCATGCGATTCCAAAATATTCCGTCTACAAAATAAAATAATACTCCGTTTACGCCGCAGCTCGTCCAATCTACAAGTAAACTTAGTGGGCGGATCGCTTTTGGGGGCGGAGCGCTTTCGAAGTCCTGCTCAGCAACCAGCGCACCGTGAAAGCGCCACACCTCGCTTCCCTGGCAGCCAAGTAACTGATTCGTGTGGTGCATATGCTTCCCGATGCGCTCCCTCTTTATCGTAATCGCTGCCTTTGACCTTGCCTAAAAGTTCATGGAATGTGCCATGTATCCAATCACAAAGGAGACCAAGTTCGGTCGGGCAGTACGCTGCTATTACTTATACCTTCGATAATCATCGTGACAGGGTGCATTTGCCATTTTTGAAGAGAAGGGTTTTGAGCGGCATTAATGCACCTTGAACATTATTTCAACACTTGCGAAACATTAATTCAGGAAACAAATTTGGAGGGAGCCACTCCGGTAGGTTTACGTGTGCGAAATTTCCTGTAGATATTTACACCTGCTATAGTACAGTGCGTTTCAAAAGTATAAAAGCAGCTCTGAAAGTTGTGGTTTTCAGCTAAAATAAAGGCCCCCTTAATGAACCTCCCCATCCTTTCGAATCACTTTGCGAATCTCACTTCGTTCTCGTGTTCCTCCGAGATGATTCGAGGCGAGCTGTTCTGTGATGCTCGCCCGATCATGGAGCCTTTATCAAGAATTCTCCCACAATACTATTAGGAGTTGAGATGGCAGTTCCCTAAACGGTAATTCTTGATGTCACAGGCGAAGACTCGAGTTAGATCTGGTTGACTGGTGGTGCAACTGGAAAAAGGTTGCTGGCTATGACGTATTTCGTGCTCGAATGATAAATGTAGTAATTCAGAGGTCTTATTGTTCCCATAAGAAGCTAGATTTCGCAGAAAATTTGCTGATACATCCATGAGATTGGCCATTCTGAGGAATTATGAAGCATTGGCATGAAGTTGTTCCTAAGTAAAGCTTTGAAGCATCCACATCCACTAAACATGTAGTGCGTTTTCACTAAGCATGCCCACAGAACCGCAAAATAGTTGATAGGAACAACAAATTTTACTGTTAAAGTCCACTTGTCCAGGGTGCCCTTATACTTTTGTAACAGTGGGCTTTTAAAAACTCCCTTATAGAATTGTTTGTCGTTTAGCTTTTGAAAACTCCCTTATAGATTTTGACTTGTTTTTGATTGTTAAGCGAGAGGTGCGGGTTCTAGTCCCGCCTGGGGCGAAAGTTTTGTTCACAACCCAGCATTCTTGTGAAACACTCCCTTATAGAATTGTTTGTCGTTTATATTTCGTTCTGGAACACGAACTACAGTTACGGAGCATCCTAGATTCAACAAAGGTGGTCAAGCCATGTATCCTTCATCTGGTACCGAATTTGAAACGTACTGCATTATAGAAAAACGCAGTGTTCGCGCGATGGTGTGGGCAGAGTGACGCTGACAAGGAGGGTCTTCCAAGTCATGGAGCGCTTTTCCGAAATGGTTTTTTGCATTTTTCCTGAACACTTCTGGGAACCTCAAAACAGTGGTGAAGAAATGGTCCAAAGTTATCCGCCGTGGTGACAAATTTTTGCAATCAAAAATTAGACATCACGGAGGATCGAACTTTGGACCATTTCTTCTCCACTGTTTTGACCTTCCTAGAAGCGTTCAGGAAAAATGGACCATGGTTTTGTGTTCCTCGCATGAGCCTCTACAAAGTGCAGGAAACCATTTTGGAAAAGCGCTCCATGTCCTGAAAGACCTCCCTTGTGAGCGGACTGGGTGTGACCGGCCGAAATTCTTTGGGTTGGTCACTCCACAATCCACCCTATTCCATTCTGCCTTCTTCGGCGTGGATTAAGCGTATAGTGATAGCACATCATCGTATAAATTTACCACTGTGCGTTTAGTTATTGGGTGCAGAAGCCTGTCAACGATGTCGATGTGCTGAAAAAGTGCGTGAATAAGGGCCTACTATTTTTTTTACGATACTCAGCAATTGATTTTTTTGGAAACTATAATACCCTTGAAACCTCAACGGTTTTCTTTTGGCATGATCCCCTTTTTGATTACACATGTAGGACACTTCACTTCGAAGTTGAATTCTTCCCTCGCGAAGTTCTTTTTTCTTATTACATAGTGCCTGAAAACCAGTTTTCGAGCATGATTCTCCTTAAATCACCCTTCCTGACTGGATCTCCCAATCATGCTCTAATCATAGAAATTCCATCGTTTTTCTACTGCTGTGTCAAACCGGTGATTGAAGAGAAACTTGTTTTTTCGTCATGAATAGTTTATCCCTGCTTGTCTATGTTGTTCCCCACCAGTGATCCATGATGTTCTTGTTTCGTTTTTTGATTAATATTTTATTCCAGAAGCCAACTAAGACAGGGGAAGTGAGAGGCCGAAGCATTGGCACCGGGTTGGATCGAATTGTGCTTTCGGTGGCGATGGGCAGCTTAAACACAAGGTTGTTTCTCTTTTCACAGTACCCCTGCTAGCTTTCAGTGGCGATGGGCAGCCTAAACACGAGGTTGCTTCTCTTTTCACAGTATGCCTACTACAGGGTGTCCCGAAATCAGTACTACTGATGTGTTGCAATGACTCTCAAAGTTTTAAATAGAGGACATAGACATATTCTATTTCATTAACATCGTGCGGTCCCACACCTTCATAGGCAGAGATCAAGATCAAATCCACGTTTCAAATCCCATTCGAATATGAAAATATGAATTCAAATTCCCAGTGGAGAAGCAAGGAAAAGAAAGCAAATAAAAAAAACAAGAAGAATAGCGGAACGGAAAATGCGGACCACTGTGCTCTATGTCGGGGCAAAGTTTAAAAGCGGACAGCAGCGCGGAGAAGTCTGAAAACTAGACGGATTTCCGGACTTCTTCGCGACGAGGAGCAGAACGATCCTTATCTTCTGTTTTTTTTGCATTTTCTTTTCTTTCCTCCTGAAACTCAGCATTCATTCTTTTATGCTCGAGTGGGATTAAATTTGACCTTGATCACTGGCTATGAGATAATAGATATGAAGAGATAAGAGATAACGTGAGAAAGACTTGGGAGTCAAGGTGGAGTCTTGTCTCCAGTTCTCTTCCACGCATACACTGCAGACCTCCCCAGTGGCTTGGCCAGATATCAAGTATCGTGTTCCATGTATGCCGACGATATCAAACTGTACAAAGTTATTGAGAACGATTTGGATTGTGATATGCTGCAAGCGGCCATTGACCATATCGTCACTTGGTCCGAGCAATGAGAGCCCTTGCTCCCGATAAAACAAAAGTGTTCACCATCGGAAATGATGCACTGTCCACCACTGCAAAATAGGTCTGTAGCATTAGAGTCAGTTAATGAAATTAAGGATCTCGGGTTTGTCCTCTCGAATAAACTCGCTTTTGACACGCACTACAAGACCTTGGTGTCTAGAGCAAACAATAGAATTTACAATCTTTTCAAAACATTACGATCAAAGAACCCCATGATCCTACTGAAAGCATACAAAGCCTACGTGAGACCAATTGTAGAATGCGGTTCTTCCGTTTTCTTTCCATCGAAGAAAAAAGACGTAGAACTTTTAGAAAAAGTGCAGAATAATTTCACGTAAGCTTGCCCTTCGCTGCTCTGCGCTGAGTTATGAGTTGTTGCCTAAAGGGTGCGAAAGACGCCGGCGTTATGGCTTGTCTTCTTGGTATAGAATACAAGTTAGCGATCTCGTTATGGCTTTCAAAATTTCTGACAAAGAAGGGTTG